AGCTGACAATATCATCTCTGGTCTTTTTGAGCAGATCTACAGCCACTCCGAGCTGTATCGTAGTCGACTGCATTAGTTTGCTCACGTGCTGAATTTTGCTGAGTATATCATACCACACAACTGAACAAATGACAAAACGGTATGACCCTACTTCCTCTGCCAACGATTAAGCCTCAACTTTGACGACAGGGTCAGTTGCAGATTCTCTGTGCTCCAAAAGCGCTTCTTTGAGTTGCGGAGGTTGATATCTAATTGCCTCCACTTTTTTACTCGGCTTTCCCACGATCTGACTGACCACGATTTCAGAGTAATATTAACATGTTTTAAAAGAACTCTACACCCTGAGGAGAGAGAGGCTGGCTGAAAACAATGTGAATACTTCAAGTAAATATCCAGCAATAAGTTGCATTTAGGAGCTCTCAAGAAAGGCCACCTTAAATAAAATCTTCAAATTTGTAAAATTCACAAGGACAAATAAGGGCCGAGAATTTGCTTAGGTTGCTTCAGTTGAACTCCTTGATGTTTCCTCTCATATTTATTTATTGTCGAGATTGACCTCGATAATCCTCAAAAGAAATGGTTTGTCTTCCGAGAGAATTCTGGCCACCAGCCTCAGACTTCTCTACTCCTGCTGAACCCTCAAGGTAGTGCATCAGGATTGCCTGTGTCACTACTTTCAACCCTAATAAAAGTTCCACTTGGAGAAAATTACCATTGGATTGACAGTTAAGTTTTTCGGCTGACCCTCTAGAGCCAAATTGCTTTCAGCTAGAGACTGAATAATCGCCATTAGTCTAGTGAGGACTTGGCGCCACCCGTTCCACTCAGCCATTAACATTTCCATTTCCCGTCTGTCTATCGTCCTTCCACTTGCAATGTTGACCTCCAGTTCCTTTTATGTTGTCATGTTTTTTTTAGTGTGTTCTATGTTACTTTCATGTGTGCTGAGCAAATGACTAGTTCTCAGTTGGAGTCAATTTGTTACCATGGAATTTATTGAGATAACACAAGTTTGGTGTTAAATTTTTCATTGTTGTATTTTTCAACCTGTTTTTATTTAACGGAGAATTTTATTACATAGCGCCTTACCATTTCTTACAGTGTAGACTGATATGCATTGTTGGTAAAGAGGTTATATGTATTTGAGAACTAATTCCGGTGTATTTTCAGCCATAGTATTGAGTGGGTTGAGGACTCTGTGGTGAAATGGACATCTAAGACATACAATCTCTGAAAATGAATTGCTGGAAGCACCCTCTGTACATGTAAGGACCACCAATTGTGAGTAAAGCACAGAGTAAATTGTGTAGTGTTAACACAGTGTCAAGATAATTGAAAAAGACAGTGAATTCTTGTGAGTACAGAAAATCCGCATGGTGTTAATCATCCGTGAGCTACAGAGTTATATTTTCGGAGATATTCTCGCCGTATATCATCAAGCATTTTATTTTGAGCATTGCTATGGCATTTTAGAATTGAAAGTTTGTATTGTCCCTTTAGAGAGATACTTTTTAATTTTCTGAGTGAGTCACCGATACTACTGCCGATTATTTATTTTGGTGAGTATCCATTTAAGAAGTATCCGAGGCATTTATGTGTCAATGTTTACCCCCTTTGCTCTGGAAGGGTGTTAATTGAATTTATCTTTGGTGGGGTTGTTTTGTAGAAGATTTGTTGTGACATCAGCGCACGATGATCACAGTAGTTGTGAATAAGTTACAACTTATGTGTGAGTTCCGACAATATCTTTGTCAGACATGTCCGTGAACCCCAACAATACCTTGAACTTTTCATTCACCTCGCCCAAGGTCTTGAACCTCTCATTAAGAGAGGAAATCACAGTATCCACTACCACATTGAAAAATGTAGTCTCCATCCTCTTGAGTACATCGCTGACAGGTTCGTCTGCACACTCATAGCTAAAGTGACATTTTTTAGTTCTTAGTCTTCTGTTTCAGCACCGTGTCTACGCTCATCGCTTCACAGATTTCTTTAGCAATAGTTAGTGCATCAGCAAAACCTGTATTTCTGTAGCTGACAATATCATCTCTGGTCTTTTTGAGCAGATCTACAGCCACGCCGAGCTGTATCGTAGTCGACTGCATTAGTTTGCTCACGTGCTGAATTTTGCTGAGTATATCATACCACACAACTGAACAAATGACAAAACGGTATGACCCTACTTCCTCTGCCAACGATTAAGCCTCAACTTTGACGACAGGGTCAGTTGCAGATTCTCTGTGCTCCAAAAGCGCTTCTTTGAGTTGCGGAGGTTGATATCTAATTGCCTCCACACTTTTTACTCGGCTTTCCCATCTGACGTCTGACCACGATTTCAGAGTAATATTAACATGTTTTAAAAGAACTTGCCACCTCTGAGGAGAGGCTGAAAACAATGTGAATACTTTCATTAAATATCCAAAGTAACAAGTTGCATTTAGGGAGCTCTTGGCAGCGTCACCTAATATAAAATTCAAATTATGGGCACCACAAGGGACAAATAAGGGCCGAGAATTCTGTTGAAGAAGCCTGGCTTGAACTCCTTTGATGTTTCCTCTCATATTTGCTTCATTGTCGTAGGATTGACCTCGATAATCCTCAAAAGAAATGTTCATTTGTTTGTCTTCCGAGTAGAATTCATGACAAATTTAGCCCTGTAGACTTCTCTACCTCAAGGAACCCCAAGGTAGTGTGACTGTGATTGCCTGCATTACTTTCAACCCTACTTAAAGTTCCACTTCTTGGAGAAAATTACCATTGGATTGACAGTTAAGTTTTTCGGCTGACCCTCTAGAGCCAAATTGCTTTCAGCTAGAGACTGAATAATCGCCATTAGTCTAGTGAGGACTTGGCGCCACCCGTTCCACTCAGCCATTAACATTTCCATTTCCCGTCTGTCTATCGTCCTTCCACTTGCAATGTTGACCTCCAGTTCCTTCTATGTTGTCATGGTTTTTTTAGTGTGTTCTATGTTACTTTCATGTGTGCTGAGCAAATGACTAGTTCTCAGTTGGAGTCAATTTGTTACCATTGAATTTATTGAGATAACACAAGTTTGGTGTTAAATTTTTCATTGTTGTATTTTTCAACCTGTTTTTATTTAACGGAGAATTTTATTACATAGCGCCTTAACATTTCTTACAGTGTAGACTGATATGCATTGTTGGTAAAGAGGTTATATGTATTTGAGAACTAATTCCGGTGTATTTTCAGCCATAGTATTGAGTGGGTTGAGGACTCTGTGGTGAAATGGACATCTAAGACATACAATCTCTGAAAATGAATTGCTGGAAGCACCCTCTGTACATGTAAGGACCACCAATTGTGAGTAAAGCACAGAGTAAATTGTGTAGTGTTAACACAGTGTCAAGATAATTGAAAAAGACAGTGAATTCTTGTGAGTACAGAAAATCCGCTTTGTGTTAATCATCCGTGAAAGCTACAGAGTTATATTTTCTTGAGACATTCTCGTCAAGTATCATCAAGTATTTTATTTTGAGCATTGCTATGAGTACTTTTGTGAATTGAAAGTCAGGCTGTCCCTAGAGATACTTAATTTTCTGGAGTGAGTCACCTGCTACTACTTCGCCGAATATTTATTTTGTGAGCATCCACCATGTGTTATCCGAGGTGATGAGGTAAGTCAACACACCTCTTTGCCTGGGAAGGGTGTTAATTAATTGACTTATGGGTTGTTTTGTAGAAGATTTGTTGTGACATCAGCGCACGATGATCACAGTAGTTGTGAATAAGTTACAACTTATGTGTGAGTTCCGACAATATCTTTGTCAGACATGTCCGTGAACCCCAACAATACCTTGAACTTTTCATTCACCTCGCCCAAGGTCTTGAACCTCTCATTAAGAGAGGAAATCACAGTATCCACTACCACATTGAAAAATGTAGTCTCCATCCTCTTGAGTACATCGCTGACAGGTTCGTCTGCACACTCATAGCTAAAGTGACATTTTTTAGTTCTTAGTCTTCTGTTTCAGCACCGTGTCTACGCTCATCGCTTCACAGATTTCTTTAGCAATAGTTAGTGCATCAGCAAAACCTGTATTTCTGTAGCTGACAATATCATCTCTGGTCTTTTTGAGCAGATCTACAGCCACGCCGAGCTGTATCGTAGTCGACTGCATTAGTTTGCTCACGTGCTGAATTTTGCTGAGTATATCATACCACACAACTGAACAAATGACAAAACGGTATGACCCTACTTCCTCTGCCAACGATTAAGCCTCAACTTTGACGACAGGGTCAGTTGCAGATTCTCTGTGCTCCAAAAGCGCTTCTTTGAGTTGCGGAGGTTGATATCTAATTGCCTCCACACTTTTTACTCGGCTTTCCCATCTGACGTCTGACCACGATTTCAGAGTAATATTAACATGTTTTAAAAGAACTTGCCACCTCTGAGGAGAGGCTGAAAACAATGTGAATACTTTCGTTAAATATCCAAAGTAACAAGTTGCATTTAGGGAGCTCTTGGCAGCGTCACCTAATATAAAATTCAAATTATGTAAAGCACTATTAAGGTACAAACAAGGGCCTAGGAATTGGGGTTGAAGAAGCCTGGGCTTTGTCCCTTTGATGTTTCTCAGTATTTGCTTCATTGTCGAGGATTGACCTCTATAATCCCTCAAAAGAAATGTTCATTTGTTTGTTCTCCGAAAGTAGAATTCACATGACAAATTTAGCCCTGTAGACTTCTACCTCTCAAGGAACCCCAAGGTAGTGATCAGATTAAGTTTTGCAATACTTAACCCCATTTAAAGTCTCTAATTTCTTGGAGAGGGCCTACCATTGATTGATAGCGTTTTTTTGGCTGAATCTCTGAGCCAAATTACTTCTAGCTAGAGACGAATAACGCCATGTCTTAGTGAGGACTTGGCCACCCACCCACTCAGCCACACAACATTTCTGCATTTCCCGGCTCAGTTCATCGTCCCTTCCACCTGGGCAGCCTGTTGGATCTCCAGTTCCTTCTATAAGACCTCCAGTTCCTTCTATGTTGTCATGTTTTTAGTGTGTTCTATGTTACTTTCATGTGTGCTGAGCAAATGACTAGTTCTCAGTTGGAGTCATTTTGTTACCATTGAATTTATTGAGATAACACAAGTTTGGTGTTAAATTTTTCATTGTTGTATTTTTCAACCTGTTTTTATTTAACGGAGAATTTTATTACATAGCGCCTTACCATTTCTTACAGTGTAGACTGATATGCATTGTTGGTAAAGAGGTTATATGTATTTGAGAACTAATTCCGGTGTATTTTCAGCCATAGTATTGAGTGGGTTGAGGACTCTGTGGTGAAATGGACATCTAAGACATACAATCTCTGAAAATGAATTGCTGGAAGCACCCTCTGTACATGTAAGGACCACCAAGTGTGAGTAAAGCACAGAGTAAATTGTGTAGTGTTAACACAGTGTCAAGATAATTGAAAAAGACAGTGAATTCTTGTGAGTACAGAAAATCCGCTTTGTGTTAATCATCCGTGAAAGCTACAGAGTTATATTTTCTTGAGACATTCTCGTCAAGTATCATCAAGTATTTTATTTTGAGCATTGCTATGAGTACTTTGTGAATTGAAAGTTTGTATTGTCCTCTTTAGAGATACTTAATTTTCTGAGTGAGTCACCGATACTACTGCCGATTATTTATTTTGGTGAGTATCCATTTAAGAAGTATCCGAGGCATTTATGTGTCAATGTTTACCCCCTTTGCTCTGGAAGGGTGTTAATTGAATTTATCTTTGGTGGGGTTGTTTTGTAGAAGATTTGTTGTGACATCAGCGCACGATGATCACAGTAGTTGTGAATAAGTTACAACTTATGTGTGAGTTCCGACAATATCTTTGTCAGACATGTCCGTGAACCCCAACAATATCTTGAACTTTTCATTCACCTCGCCCAAGGTCTTGAACCTCTCATTAAGAGAGGAAATCACAGTATCCACTACCACATTGAAAAATGTAGTCTCCATCCTCTTGAGTACATCGCTGACAGGTTCGTCTGCACACTCATAGCTAAAGTGACATTTTTTAGTTCTTAGTCTTCTGTTTCAGCACCGTGTCTACGCTCATCGCTTCACAGATTTCTTTAGCAATAGTTAGTGCATCAGCAAAACCTGTATTTCTGTAGCTGACAATATCATCTCTGGTCTTTTTGAGCAGATCTACAGCCACGCCGAGCTGTATCGTAGTCGACTGCATTAGTTTGCTCACGTGCTGAATTTTGCTGAGTATATCATACCACACAACTGAACAAATGACAAAACGGTATGACCCTACTTCCTCTGCCAACGATTAAGCCTCAACTTTGACGACAGGGTCAGTTGCAGATTCTCTGTGCTCCAAAAGCGCTTCTTTGAGTTGTGGAGGTTGATATCTAATTGCCTCCACACTTTTTACTCGGCTTTCCCATCTGACGTCTGACCACGATTTCAGAGTAATATTAACATGTTTTAAAAGAACTTGCCACCTCTGAGGAGAGGCTGAAAACAATGTGAATACTTTCGTTAAATATCCAAAGTAACAAGTTGCATTTAGGGAGCTCTTGGCAGCGTCACCTAATATAAAATTCAAATTATGGGCACCACAAGGGACAAATAAGGGCCGAGAATTCTGTTGAAGAAGCCTGGCTTGAACTCCTTTGATGTTTCCTCTCATATTTGCTTCATTGTCGTAGGATTGACCTCGATAATCCTCAAAAGAAATGTTCATTTGTTTGTCTTCCGAGTTGAATTCATGACAAATTTAGCCCTGTAGACTTCTCTACCTCAAGGAACCCCAAGGTAGTGTGACTGTGATTGCCTGCATTACTTTCAACCCTACTTAAAGTTCCACTTCTTGGAGAAAATTACCATTGGATTGACAGTTAAGTTTTTCGGCTGACCCTCTAGAGCCAAATTGCTTTCAGCTAGAGACTGAATAATCGCCATTAGTCTAGTGAGGACTTGGCGCCACCTGTTCCACTCAGCCATTAACATTTCCATTTCCCGTCTGTCTATCGTCCTTCCACTTGCAATGTTGACCTCCAGTTCCTTCTATGTTGTCATGTTTTTTTTAGTGTGTTCTATGTTACTTTCATGTGTGCTGAGCAAATGACTAGTTCTCAGTTGGAGTCAATTTGTTACCATTGAATTTATTGAGATAACACAAGTTTGGTGTTAAATTTTTCATTGTTGTATTTTTCAACCTGTTTTTATTTAACGGAGAATTTTATTACATAGCGCCTTACCATTTCTTACAGTGTAGACGAGGAAGAGGTATGTATTTGATCCAATTCCGTGTATTAAATATAATTTTGGAATGGACATCTAAGACATACAATCTCTGAAAATGAATTGCTGGAAGCACCCTCTGTACATGTAAGGACCACCAATTGTGAGTAAAGCACAGAGTAAATTGTGTAGTGTTAACACAAAGTGCCTAAGAGATAATTGAAAAAGACAGTGAATTTCTGTGAGTGTGAAACTTGGCCAAAGTTAATCATCCTGTAAGCTGGGTTAGAGTTATATTTTCTTGAGACATTTCTCGCCAAGTATCATCAGTGAGTTTAGTTTTGAGCATTGCTAAGGAGTACTTTGTGAATTGAAAAGTTTGTATTATCCCTTTCTTTAGGAGATACTTAATTTTCTGAGAGGAGTCACCGACATTACGCCGACATTTATTTTTGGGTGGAGTCCATTTAAGAAGTATCCGAGGCATTTATGTGTCAATGTTTACCCCCTTTGCTCTGGAAGGGTGTTAATTGAATTTATCTTTGGTGGGGTTGTTTTGTAGAAGATTTGTTGTGACATCAGCGCACGATGATCACAGTAGTTGTGAATAAGTTACAACTTATTTGTGAGTTCCGACAATATCTTTGTCAGACATGTCCGTGAACCCCAACAATACCTTGAACTTTTCATTCACCTCGCCCAAGGTCTTGAACCTCTCATTAAGAGAGGAAATCACAGTATCCACTACCTTAATATTGAAAAATGGTCTCCATCCTTGAAAGTACATCTTTTACAGGTTCATCTGCACACTCATGGGCCAAAGTTTTATTTATTTTAGTTCTTCATTTCTGTTTCAGCAATCTTCGTGGTTCACTGCTTCATGATTTCTTTTAGTAATAGTTAGCATCAGCAAAACCTGTATTTCTGTAGCTGACAATATCATCTCTGGTCTTTTTGAGCAGATCTACAGCCACTCCGAGCTGTATCGTAGTCGACTGCATTAGTTTGCTCACGTGCTGAATTTTGCTGAGTATATCATACCACACAACTGAACAAATGACAAAACGGTATGACCCTACTTCCTCTGCCAACGATTAAGCCTCAACTTTGACGACAGGGTCAGTTGCAGATTCTCTGTGCTCCAAAAGCGCTTCTTTGAGTTGCGGAGGTTGATATCTAATTGCCTCCACACTTTTTACTCGGCTTTCCCATCTGACGTCTGACCACGATTTCAGAGTAATATTAACATGTTTTAAAAGAACTTGCCACCTCTGAGGAGAGGCTGAAAACAATGTGAATACTTTCGTTAAATATCCAAAGTAACAAGTTGCATGTAGGGAGCTCTTGGCAGCGTCACCTAATATAAAATTCAAATTATGGGCACCACAAGGGACAAATAAGGGCCGAGAATACTGTTGAAGAAGCCTGGCTTGAACTCCTTTGATGTTTCCTCTCATATTTGCTTCATTGTCGTAGGATTGACCTCGATAATCCTCAAAAGAAATGTTCATTTGTTTGTCTTCCGAGTAGAATTCATGACAAATTTAGCCCTGTAGACTTCTCTACCTCAAGGAACCCCAAGGTAGTGTGACTGTGATTGCCTGCATTACTTTCAACCCTACTTAAAGTTCCACTTCTTGGAGAAAATTACCATTGGATTGACAGTTAAGTTTTTCGGCTGACCCTCTAGAGCCAAATTGCTTTCAGCTAGAGACTGAATAATCGCCATTAGTCTAGTGAGGACTTGGCGCCACCCGTTCCACTCAGCCATTAACATTTCCATTTCCCGTCTGTCTATCGTCCTTCCACTTGCAATGTTGACCTCCAGTTCCTTCTATGTTGTCATGTTTTTTTTAGTGTGTTCTATGTTACTTTCATGTGTGCTGAGCAAATGACTAGTTCTCAGTTGGAGTCAATTTGTTACCATTGAATTTATTGAGATAACACAAGTTTGGTGTTAAATTTTTCATTGTATTTTTCAACCTGTTTTTATTTAACGGAGAATTTTATTACATAGCGCCTTACCATTTCTTACAGTGTAGACTGATATGCATTGTTGGTAAAGAGGTTATATGTATTTGAGAACTAATTCCGGTGTATTTTCAGCCATAGTATTGAGTGGGTTGAGGACTCTGTGGTGAAATGGACATCTAAGACATACAATCTCTGAAAATGAATTGCTGGAAGCACCCTCTGTACATGTAAGGACCACCAATTGTGAGTAAAGCACAGAGTAAATTGTGTAGTGTTAACACAGTGTCAAGATAATTGAAAGACAGTGAATTCTTGTGAGTACAGAAAATCCGCTTTGTGTTAATCATCCGTGAAAGCTACAGAGTTATATTTTCTTGATACATTCTCGTCAAGTATCAAGTATTTTATTTTGAGCATTGCTATGAGTACTTTGTGAATTGAAAGTTTGTATTGTCCTCTTTAGAGATACTTAATTTTCTGAGTGAGTCACCGATACTACTGCCGATTATTTATTTTGGTGAGTATCCATTTAAGAAGTATCCGAGGCATTTATGTGTCAATGTTTACCCCCTTTGCTCTGGAAGGGTGTTAATTGAATTTATCTTTGGTGGGGTTGTTTTGTAGAAGATTTGTTGTGACATCAGCGCACGATGATCACAGTAGTTGTGAATAAGTTACAACTTATGTGTGAGTTCCGACAATATCTTTGTCAGACATGTCCGTGAACCCCAACAATATCTTGAACTTTTCATTCACCTCGCCCAAGGTCTTGAACCTCTCATTAAGAGAGGAAATCACAGTATCCACTACCACATTGAAAAATGTAGTCTCCATCCTCTTGAGTACATCGCTGACAGGTTCGTCTGCACACTCATAGCTAAAGTGACATTTTTTAGTTCTTAGTCTTCTGTTTCAGCACCGTGTCTACGCTCATCGCTTCACAGATTTCTTTAGCAATAGTTAGTGCATCAGCAAAACCTGTATTTCTGTAGCTGACAATATCATCTCTGGTCTTTTTGAGCAGATCTACAGCCACGCCGAGCTGTATCGTAGTCGACTGCATTAGTTTGCTCACGTGCTGAATTTTGCTGAGTATATCATACCACACAACTGAACAAATGACAAAACGGTATGACCCTACTTCCTCTGCCAACGATTAAGCCTCAACTTTGACGACAGGGTCAGTTGCAGATTCTCTGTGCTCCAAAAGCGCTTCTTTGAGTTGCGGAGGTTGATATCTAATTGCCTCCACACTTTTTACTCGGCTTTCCCATCTGACGTCTGACCACGATTTCAGAGTAATATTAACATGTTTTAAAAGAACTTGCCACCTCTGAGGAGAGGCTGAAAACAATGTGAATACTTTCGTTAAATATCCAAAGTAACAAGTTGCATTTAGGGAGCTCTTGGCAGCGTCACCTAATATAAAATTCAAATTATGGGCACCACAAGGGACAAATAAGGGCCGAGAATTCTGTTGAAGAAGCCTGGCTTGAACTCCTTTGATGTTTCCTCTCATATTTGCTTCATTGTCGTAGGATTGACCTCGATAATCCTCAAAAGAAATGTTCATTTGTTTGTCTTCCGAGTAGAATTCATGACAAATTTAGCCCTGTAGACTTCTCTACCTCAAGGAACCCCAAG